GATCTGGCCCACAGAGGGATCTCTGCTGGAGTGAACCGGCCCAGGTGAGGTAAACCTTGCTGACCCCTGCACTAGATCCTTAACTTGCATATCATCCCTCATATTCCTCAAGGGAAAGATCAGGACCAGGGGGGTGTTTATTACCTTCCCCTCACCCTCTCAGGGCAGATCCACAGCATATATTTAAAGCACACCCAACACACATTTTAAACCCATGATTTCCCTCCAAAGAATCCTAGCAACTGTAGTTGCCCCCTTCCAGAGCTATGATTCCCAGTACTCCAAGCAAACTACATTTCCTAGGATTCTCTGGGATAAGCCCATGCACTTTAAATGTTTGCTGGATGTGCTTTAAATGTGGGGTGAATTGTGAAGAGTGAATTGCGGATGTTGGGAATCAGTTCAAATGAAACACAAGAATAGTGATTAGACTGAACCTTAAAGGCCATTTAGTTCATTCCTTTGCCAATGCAGAAAATCATCTTCTGTTTGTTATTGAATTGACAACAACAACAACAACAACATCAACAATAAGCAGTTTTTCTTACTAAGTTTAAGAAAAGTTAGATTTTTTTGAGACGTCGTTTAGCTTGTTTTACTATTTGAGACCCTTCTTAACTCCATGTAGATTTTCTGCAAGGGAACTTTACTGAAATTATGTGGGTCAAAAGCTCCCAGGAAAATCCGACCTCGCACAATATTTTGTTTCTGTGTCCCAGTACTAATACAGTGGAACATTCAGAGTATTGATATGGCAGTTTACTAGTGAGGACAATTTAATTTAACAATACAAATGCTAAACTGCAATTAAAATCAATAACTGACAAACAGTGGTTTTGCTTTGAAATACTAGAATAAAATGTCTCTTAGAAGGTCATCATTCTATCTCTATCCAAAAGGTCATTTTAAGAAGACGGAAGGTCAGGTTCTATTCAAATAGTGAGAGTCAGGATTTTTGTTACTTCCACATCCATTCTACCGTCACCAAGACTTATTTCTATCACCCAGAAATTGCATCTCTGGTTATATCTTTCTTTGGCCCAAAGTAGTTGTGAAGAATAATCCTGCAGTTTACTCAAGGCTGCTTGTTGTTGTTGTTTAATGAACAACAACAGTATGGCTACATACCTCGTTCTCTCATTTGTCCAATCAAAATTCTCAGCTCCCCAGCAGCTTCTCTTTCTGTATTCCTCCTCTCCCTTGAGTAGCCATGCTGCCAATTATTCTGCCCTCCTCAATTCCTAGTTTGCAGCTGATATTAATTTTAAGAATATGTAAAGAACAAAAATCATGGACTTCCCACCAAAAGTAGTATGGTCCTTTCATCTTTGGGCCTTCCATAGACAAACAACAAACTCTTTGCTATGCAATGCTCTCAGTAGGAAGAGTTAGTAAGCTGAGTTCCCTCGCTGCGAGAAGCCAAGTTACAGGGAACCAGGCAGAGGGCCTTCTTGGTAGTGGCACCCGCCCTGTGGAATGCCCTCCCACCAGATGTCAAAGAGAAAAACAACTACAGTGGTACCTCGGGTTAAGAACTTAATTCGTTCCAGAGGTTCATTCTTAATCTGAAACTGTTCTTAACCAGAGGTACCACTTTAGCTAATGGGGCCTCCCACTGCTGCTGTTCCGCCACTGCACAATTTCTGTTCTCATCCTGAAGCAAAGTTCTTAACCCGAGGTACTATTTCTGGGTTAGTGGAGTCTGTAACCTGAAGCATATGTAACCTGAAGCGTCTGTAACCTGATGTACCACTGTACCAGACTTTTAGAAGACATCTGAAGGCAGCCCTGTTTAGGGAAGCTTTTAATGTTTGATGGACTATATTTTGTTGGAAGCCACCCAGGGTGGCTGGGGAAACCCAGCCAGATGGGCGGGGTATAAATAAATAAATTATTATTATTATTATTATTATTATTATTATTAAATTAAAAATTGGTATAGAAGGGTATGTCTTTCTATGATCAGTTGTGAAGTAAATGTGGATCTTCTGGATTCTGAATAATGGATATTAACAGCAAAATCCTTGAGCTGCCGTAAGTCTTAGTTCGTTATCACGTTGTAGCAGATGAGGGTTTCTAGGCCAAGTTGCTTTCCTCGTTGGAGACAACTAGGTGTTACAATATTGCAAGTCAGTGGGACCCATCTACAAGCCTATTTGTTTAAAATACCCTACATTCTTAGTGTTGTTTCCATGAAAGTATTATATTCATTTATTCCTTATTGCTCAGTCTATTGGGATCAGGATAGCAGCAGTACTCTACTGTCTTGTTAAATAGGCAGCACCAAAACAGCTATGCGGTAAAAACAACAGCAACCCAAAAAAGGAAAGTTACCTGAAAATTTGTTTCCTCCAGAGAATCTTAATATTTCTTCAGTGCTTTAGATGCCTCTTGGTTCTGCCAAGTCCTTCTGAGGTTGCCTCATTTCTGTTCTATGTGTGCTCAACTAAAATAGTCTTAAGTGCAACATTGCCAAGAAAAGCGCTAGGTACTTAACTGCAATATGTTTGATGTAAGAGCTCTTACCATACATAAAATGTCCCTCGCAAACCATTCTTAAATTACCTTAGCTTGAAGAAGTTTGTTGAGGCATCTACGTGAAACTAGGGCACTAACATTAAGCTTTTGAAGCTAAAGCTGGAATATAAATTGTACTTGCTTTTTGAATTATTTGCCTTCTTTCAGCTAATATGGCTCTGATCTGAAGTTTTAAATATTTCTGGTGTTAAGCCCTGTGCATTCAAACACTTTTGTAGGAAATGTTCTTTTTGTGTTTTCTCGCTTATTATATAAACTCTAAATTGAATGAGTCAGTTTTCTCATTTCCCCCCTCATATAAATATTTTCCTTTGGGTTGATTCTCCTGGGAAAGCTAATTATCAAAGATATTTGTCTGACAAAGGTATATGTGTCAAGAAGGGGATTAGAACTCAAAGTCAATTTCAGCTGCACACAGACACGATCACTCTTCTGTTAGGAAGGCCACTTCACAAAAGACGTATTTCCCATAGGGAAGTTATTTCTGTGCAGTAAGTGCCATAGATTCTTCATTATAGCTTGAATATACGTGTGTTCAAGCACACATGGCAGAAAGTGTGCTCATATGGCAAAATAGAAACTTGTGTATTTACTACCCAGGTTTCACATAGTTCCCCCGCAGAGAATCGACTCCCATGTTGGAAATGCCATATTGTGTGAATTAAGCTAGGAGATACCATAGCAGCCACCTTTCCTCCTGTGCTATTGCAGAAGCTGGGTTGGGCACCTGCTTCTATTGGCAGGACTCACTGTTTTGAGGTCTTGAGACTGTTGACATTACTGTAGTCTTGGCAAACCACAGAAATATTAGGATAATGGTAGCCTTTTGTTACAGAAGTAACCCAACAGTCACTGGTAATGTGCATGAACCAAAAGAAAGCTCATTCAGATATTCAGGGAGCAACATAGGGACACCTGGTTTGAAGCAGTGTAGTTTTAAAAGACTTTAGGGAGGCCCTGCTGTTTAGGGAAGTTTTTTATGTTTTTATGCTTTACAGTGGTACCTCAGGTTACAGACGTTTCAGGTTACAGACCCGCTAACCCAGAAATAGTACCTCAGGTTAAGAACTTTGCTTCAGGATGAGAACAGAAATCACGCCTCAGCGGCGCGGCGGCTGCGGGAGGCCCCATTAGCTAAAGTGGAACCTCAGGTTAAGAACAGTTTCAGGTTAAGAACGGACCTGCGGAACAAATTAAGTTCTTAACCTGAGGTACCACTGTATTGTGTTCTTAATATTCGATTGGGAGCCGCCCAGAGTGGCTGGGGAAACCCAGCCAGATGGATGGGGTATAAATAAATTATTATTATTATTATTATTATTATTATTATTATCATTATATATGTAGGTGCGGCCACTGGAAACTCAGTTGCATTCCCTTTCCTTGTTTCACAGTGAAGAAGTGGACAAACCTCTTCTCTACTTCAGTTGCTTTCTTCTTCACTCTGCCCCCCCCCAATTACCCAATGTCTGTACTACATTTACAAAATTCTCTGTTACCTCTTAGGAAAGACAGCATGGGGGAGAGTAAAAGATGACTGATGCAATTAGGCCAGTTCAGTTATTCAAAATCTTATCCATGCAATGCAGCTTAACAACTCTGCCTCACCCGCCAAAGGCGACAGTCTCGTGAAGGATGTAATATCAGACTAGGGATGTTTACGGATACAGCCACAGCATTCCTGCAGCAATATCACTGATTGTGGGCTTTCCAGAAGCATCTAGTTGGCCATTGTGGGAAACAGGATACTAGATAGATGCACCCTTGGTCTGATCCAGCGCGGGCTCTTTATATCTTGCCACATGTCTCAGCTGTTACACAGGAATGATTTCCGGGGAGTTGTAGTACAGTGTGTGTGTGTGTGTGTGTGTGTGTGTGTGTGTTAGTTACATGTGCTGTTGATGCAAATATTCTATTACAAGTTGTCTCCTGCTTATTCTCCCTGTTGCTCTCTACCTCACTGCAGTATAAATTTTAATGGCTCGGAGAGAGCAGAAGCATCATTCCATGTGTGGAGGTATCGTCCCTTGAGTATGTTTGCCAGTACTGCTTTATAATGAAATACAGAAAATATTGCATACACAGTCATTCCATTTTGGGTCTTGGCAAGCAATAGCCATACAGATTAACATGAAAAACATTAAAAAAAACATACTTAAGGCCATATTTTCTTCAGAGAGGAAGCTATGTGGAAGCCTTTCTTGACATATTGACTTAATAGCAAGTATAAGTGTGTATGTATTCTAAAGACCAAGTGGCATCATTTAAAACATATAATAATATCAACCAACAATGGAAAACCATATGTATTATATAACAGCCTTCCATCTATTAACTGCAGCCTGTCCATTCACAAGTGTATGCAGAAATGGATGAACTAAGCTTAAGATTGGAAAAATGAGAAACTGAAAGGAACCAAAATCGACAGATTTCCCCATCATCATCATCATCAAACCTTTATTGGCATCACCTACAAACATTCAGAATAAATAGGCCAGTGCGATCTCGTCGCCATTTCAACAGTACAGTCATTTGCCAAAGGGAAGAAGAGGCAAGCAATCTATTTCATCTCTGTGGGTCTCCAGCAAGGGCAGGATCCTGTAGCGTACTTCGGTAACAAAAAAATCAAATAGAGTAACTTACCTACTGTCTTGGTGAGTTCCTGAGTTCCTGGTCTCTCCCCATCTGTTCCTTTGAATTTTTTTTGTAGCAACATCACTAAGACCTCTATCAAGCTATCATCTGTCTGTCTGTTGCATTCTCTCCAGTTTCCAAAGTGGTGATAGGTTTAGGGCCAGTGCTACCTATCCCCCCTTTGGCTGCAAGAGCACTAGACATAAATGGTAATTTTGTAATATTTTGTAACATAATGTAAATGCATTTTTTAAAACAATTGCATAAGTAAAGTAAAAGTGGAGGCATAAGAGGCACTTATGTAATGGAGAAGATCCATAACCACATACAACAACAACAATTTATTAAATTTGTATAACACCCTATACCCGTAGATCTCAGGGCGGTTCACAACAAATGTAATATCCCTCCAAAGAGGGCCTGCACACACAATGTATGTTTAGCAACTCAGCACTTTCTCTCTCTCTATGCCTCTGTCTGTTCCAAACTGTGAAACTGGTGCTTCTTCATGCACACTTGCGCATGCATACTTGATGTGTGCACCAAAGAGAAGATTCAGTTCAGTCCCTGAATTGGTGTTTGAAGAGCAGCCTGGCTATTTTGTCTCAGGGGTCCTTCTGTGTCTGCATTATCCCCACTCCATTACTGGAAAATTATTGAGGGGAAATGGCTATAACATTTTTTATTGTATTACGTAAGTGGATAAAATTTGTCGGCATAGTACCCCTTCCAGAATGAATAAGACCTGCAAAAATACAGGTGAATAGGTCCAGGTTTTGCTATCCTGGGTATCATTAAACGTTTTCTAAGGAAACATATATAACTTATGTTTATTTTGGGATAGACCTAGATGAAATCTGCAGGCAAAGCCACCATTTCTGAGGGAATAAATTGTGTCAAATGTTAGAAGTGGTTTTCTTGCAAGGTCAACCTTTACAGATTTGGGACAGGTAAAAAAGAAGGGACTTAATCTCCCCCATTCTTTTTGTTGGCGAATTGCAAACATGAGAACAATGTTCCTTGGTAAAGAAACAAAACAAAAATGTCAAATCACAGACAAATATATTCAGGTACTTTTGTGCTAGGCACCTATAAAAGCTTATGGGGGGCAGGGAGGAACTAAAAGAAATTCACATTCTGGGGACTCAGTTACATTGGCAAAGAAAAAGTGCATTATATGCGTTGTATATTATTATAACACTGTGACACCAGATGGCGCTGAAGAGTTCCGTTTTTGCTAACCCGATTTCTCGTATAAAGTTTACAATGCGTTTAACTGAAACGCTTCTTTGATGTGTCTAGATCCAACCTGGGTAAAACAATTCCCTCTGATCATACTGATGTGTCAGTGAAGACAACACAGGGAGACAGTGAGTAATAAGAAGTAGTAGAACAGTCACAATCAGTAACTGCAGAAATGACTGCTGCTTCTTGCAAGCAATAGTGTATTTCTTCCTTATGGTAACCTTAAAGACATTTAATTTTGCTTTTAGCAGAAACTTGCCTGTAGCATTTGTTTGAAACCTGGATATGTGAGGCACCAAAAAGTGCTTGAGGGATCCCTGCTTCAACTCATGCTGCTTCATAGAGATCCTGCTTCACCCATGACAAGCCTTCTGAGGCACCCTGCTTTGACTTTGGATTCATCCAAATCTGATATGCACCCTGGGTAACTACCCTCTGCTCTTTACCTGGTCCCTTTCAGGTCCCTTTCCTCGTGTTCTGAAGTGTGTCTCTTTCAAGAATGCACACACAGATTCCCATCTATTTCCTCTTCATTAGCTCCCATTAAAGAAACAGCAACCAACCATCCTTCGCAGACAGTGAGAGAGAGAGAGATGGAGAGGGGAAAGAGAATGAGCTTCTGATACATTCTGAAAAACCAGGCTTCTCATTCTAGTGATTAAAAATGTTGCTCATCATGCAGTCAAGAAGCATAGTATTTAACTGATAAATTGTGAAGCTAATTTATCGCAGGGAGTGAGGGTTAGGTAGACCACGTTTAAGTCCTACTTTTTAATCTGTTCAAGGCAAAGAGGATAGAGTTACTGAATAGACAAAAATAGTGGCCGAGTATTTTCAGGAGTCATAATTAAATTTGGAGTCATGGAACATCAAAAGAGAATTGCAGGAAAGAATATAAGTAGACAGTGGTGCCCAGACATAGACCAGTATTTGGCTATGCAAATTAACTGTCAAAATTAGAGGCCAAAAGGCTCTGTCAGTCAGATGAAAAGGTGGGAGCGCAGAAAAAGCTCTCCTTCGCAAGTTAATTCTTTATAAGTGAATTGGGAATAGTTTTGATAGCTAGTAGCATAATACAAGACATATAACCCACAATCTTTTTTTTTTTTTTTTTGAAAACCAGTTAATCCTAGGTGTTTACAAAATAATATTTTTTAAAATCTCACTCTCGTCTAGAGTAAATGATAGTAAGTTTAGCAGAATTTGGTTCTTTGCCTTTATTTCTTTTCAAGGCAAGCGTGCTGGTTATAATATGATATTCTATTTGGAAATGACCTTTTTCTGTCCAAGGTTAACACCTGGAAGTTGTTGGGGGTTTTTTAACCCATGATTGAAGGCTGAGAAAATAAAAAGCGAAATCCTGTGTGTATTTTATTGGAAGCTTCCTGGGACTTATTCCAAGCAAATTATTCCCAGGACTGTAGCCTGGAAGAGTGGGCAGTGGGGAACGCTGCATCCCACAGTGATATCACTGTTGCTTACTGGGATGGTGTTGGGGTGAGGTAGGGTAACAACCAGGGCAGGAATGTGCAGGTGCACTGCTAGGAGCATCCGATTGGTTCTGCCATTGGGTCTGCACCGTGTGTGATGCGAGAGTACTCAAAGGCAAGTGACGCTTCACATGTGAGAATTCTCTATCCCTGGGGTTTATTGTGCTGCCTTACAGCATTCCTCTGTGTGGAGTTGTTTTGAAGGGCTTGAGAGAGTTAAACGATGGTGTTGCCTGCCACTGTTTTTAATCTGCTTTGTGCATCAGTCAGTCATCTGCACCACAGAGATAATGCTTCTCTACCTTACAGGAGCATTGGGAAACTAAACATCCATTAATGATTGTGGAGCCCTTAGATGCTACAGGCAGTGATGAAGGTCATATTCTGCATGAGCAGTGTTGACAGATTGCTGCATGCTTGTGTGAAACAGGTAAAAATACATTTGGATTCACATTGAACCATGAGACAGCCATATTAGCAAATTACCAGTGTTACCAGCACATTAAGTAAAATCACCATCTGATACACATTTTTGATCAATACCCATTCCTAAAGAATATTATTTCCCATGAATATTGACTGAATTTGGAGTGGAAGATATAGTAGGCATAATTAGTGAAAAGGAGAATTTTGGTAGTGTTTTTAAGGGGAAGATACTTTATGTGGCAAAATATTTAATCTGAAATTAAGATGGGGGAAATGATATTAGTTTGACTTTTTAAAAAATTCTCCACATCTTTCAATATTAGTTATTTTCCTAGTTCTCAAATCTGTTGAAAACCCTGCATTGTTGCAGATATAACTGCTGCAAGAACTATAATTGAACTGATAAAGTCTGCACGGCTAAGACTTGCAAAGACTCTTCCCGTCAAAGGTGAGTCTTTGTTTACCTCTTGAAAATGCCGCAGAAACAGGTTCTGGAAAGCCATTTCCAATAGAGAAAGGGCCAGTTGATCAGATAGCAGCTAAACTAATGAAAAGCATCATGGAAGTGACAGGAAGATTAATTAAGTCCCTCCAGTCGTATTCACAGGCGGCTATACAGAGTTCCTTTGGGTACTGCTGCAGTTAAATAGTATTCATGGTGACAAATATTGCAGATTTCCAGAACTGACACCTCTGATTCAAGGGTAAAAAAAACAGCATACGCACAACAGCCACCACATTTGGTAGTTTTGTCTAGTGAGGACAGGAAAATCGAGCGAACTGCTCTTGTGACTAGTAAATCAAGAAAATCTTTAATAAAAAATATTTTTTTAAAAAGACACAATAACTCAGCAGCCTCAGCCTGAATAGCTTAGTCGGTTAGAACATAGTGCTGATATTGCCAAGGTTCCAAGTTTGATCCCCGTAGTCTTTGATTCTAGAAAAGAAATGCAATTTGGGAATTAGCATGTGTTTCTTTTAGGCACAGAAACAAGTTGCTATATTGCCATTATAAAATGCCATTGGGCTGAAGTATGCCATTGGAGTGGAAATGCGCCCCCAAATTTGGATTAATCTTTAATAATAATAATAATAATAATAATAATAATAATAATAATTTATTTATACCCCACCCTCCCCAGCCAAGACCTCAATCTTTGGGGATTGGCAAAATTGAACAACTTCTAGAAATCTTGCTCTTGAACAGAGAATTATGGTTTAACTTTAACAATTGGCACCCAATTTTGTATTTTCCTTCTCCCTTTCTCTCTTTTCTTTGCACTGCGTTTTTTAAACTGTAAGCCAGTGGGCAGAGACTTTTGTGGAGGGGCTATATCAGGGGTCATCAAACTCGGCATCGACAATGGAGTGCACCTCCAGGGGTGAAGCCAAATAACAGCACCTGCTGTGGAATAGAGACCAGTAACTTGGAACTGCTGCCTTCTGCATTTTATTTTTCTGTGTTAGTAGTACTGGGGAGTACTCCACACACCTCTTTGGGGAGTGTGTGGAGGTCCTGGTGGGCTGCCCAGATGACAAGACCCCCCGGCCTTGCTGATGTGGTCCAAAGAAAGCAGAGCAATGTGTTTGGCACAAGCTTGGCTTCAGGAATTGCTGGAAGGAGACATACAAGGTGCCATCCAGCTGTCTTAGGGACCCCACTCTGGATTTGTGTGGGGTTTACTCCTCTCAAAGACGTCCTGCAAGGTATGAATTTTTCTTTGGGTTTTACTCCTGAAGCCTTTCTCATGAATGAGTATAGCCGCAAGGCATCTGATGTTTAGGATTAGAGTTTTTCTTTTCCTAGATGGGCTACCTTCCCAGTTTGATGAGCCCCATCTTCCCTCTACAGCATGTTCAGAAACTGCCTTCTTGACCATTGGACCCACTATGGGTCTCATCTGCTCAACCTGTCAGGGCCTATCTTCACATGCAGAGGAAGTCCCTAACTCACTGAGGGTTTGAGACCTATCGGTTCCCTCACCTGGTTTAGCCTTCCAGTCAAAGCTGTTTCCTGGGGTGTGGATGCTGTCACATGCTGACAGCTTCTAGGAGCCACAGGTGAGAACCAAGTGCAGGATGGGGATCAAGGTGGACAAACTACCCCAGAAGCAGCACAACAAGTCTCTCACCAGAGGTACAGTGGTACCTCGAGTTACAGACGCTTCAGGTTACAGATGCTTCAGGTTACAGACTCCGCTAACCCAGAAATAGTACCTCGGGTTAAGAACTTTGCTTCAGGGTGAGAACAGAAATTGCGCTGTGGCAGCGGGAAGCCCCATTAGCTAAAGTGGTACCGCAGGTTAAGAACAGTTTCAGGTTAAGAACGGACCTCTGGAACAAATTAAGTTCTTAACCTGAGGTACCACTGTACTAACCTTCCCCTAACACCCCATTTGGGGGGCGGGGAGCTATATAGTGAATAGTTAAATATAAATGGATAAAAGAATGACACATTTCATTAGATGTGATTACATATGCAAGTATCTTAACCAATTTATTAGATTATTCTGTTAATATATACAAAAGTTGCACCTGCAAAAATGTGTTTGTGTGTGAGAGAGAGAGTGAGTGATGAATGCAAGATAGGGTTGTTGCTTTTTTTAAATGTTAGAAGCACTTTCAAACAAATGATACTACATGTGAATTCTTGGGTGGTGCCATCATGCAAAGGAAGTGGACCACAAGTGCATAAATGTTGTTATTGGCTGTCAGTCTCAGGAGAGCCTTGGAAATAATTTTTTCTGCAGTTTCTTCCTGAAACAGTTCTAGATGGATACAAAGATAATATACATATCTTGCCAGGGCACTTACTGTGTTTGACTTGAAGCTGAAGATTCTGCACACTTGGAAACATTTTCAGTTGCTTTTGGCTTCTCGCGTTGTTGTGAATGGTTTTTCTTTCACTAAAATTTGCAAAAGTTAATTTTAGTTTAACTTTCCCAAATGTTTTAGCAATGGATTGGGGGAAGCAAACATAAAGATTAAATATAATCTTTTTTGCCAATCTCTTTTTATTTTATATTACAGCACAGTACATTTAGGTTTCCAATAGCCGTCTAGGACTAAAAGATGAAATTTATTTTGGGGGTGGGGGGGAAATGGAAACCTCTCAAGTGTGCGAGAACTTTTCACCTACCGTACAAGGCATCTAAACTGATAACGTTTTGTCATCCTGTGTCTTTTGTTGCACATTATTACATTTCTGCCAACAAAACGGTCCCTGGATGCACTGTTGCACATATTCACAGAAAACCTTCTCATCAGCTTCTCAAATTGAAATTCATCATAGGCAACCAGTAAGAATCCAAGGATAGATCTATTATTGGTTGCCTCCTGCAAGTTTGCAAAAGCAAAAGAGAGGCTTCCAGAAACCGCAATAGTTGAGCAGGCACATTAATTTTATTAAATATTAATTTGTGTATGTGGAAGGCATGCCTGCAAGTGACGTTTTTGTTCTTAGCATGGGGCAATGTGTGAGCCATCAGTTGGGATGAAGTTTAGAAAATAAGACAGGATTTGAATTAATTAATAAGATTCATAGGAAGCCCTTTGCTTTGAGCCTTTGAAGTGTACTACTTTTTGCAAGCCAAAAAAGTGAGCAATTATATATAACGCTCTCCTTTCTTTATAACTCTTCAGGCATGCCATCACTTGTATCCACACAACCCTTTACTAGGGATTCCCCCTCCCCCCAATTCTCATTTCAATCTTACTGAGAAGTAACTCACTCCCACCCACCCCAGTTCTGCTAAAAATGCAAACAGTTCATGCATTATTGCATGCATTATTATATTTATAAGATTATATTTGTACTATATACATACACATTCCAGATTTTCTCAAGTAACTAGCACATAAACAGATAGCTTAACATCCATCCACGTAAAAGTGCTGGAAAGTATTGTTAAAGATAAAATAACAAAGCATTTAGAAGGACAAGCCTTGCTGAAGCAGAGCTACCATGGCTTCTGCAAGGGAATCCTATCCTGTCTCACTAACCTTTTAGAGTTTTTTGAAGCTAAATAAATAAATAAATAAATAAATTTCTTCCAGTAGCACCTTAGAGACTGAAGAAGTGTGCATGCACATGAAAGCTCATACCAATACTGTAACTAACTTAGTTGGTCTCTAAGGTGCTACTGGAAGGAATTTTTAAATTTTATTTTGTTTCGATTACGGCAGACCAACTCGGCTACCTACCTGTAACTAGAGTTTTTTGAGTGTGTCAACAGAGGTGATTGTGTTGCAAGGTATCTCACAAAAGACTCCTGAATAAAGTTAGCCATCACAGAATAAGAGAAATCCTCTTGTGAATCAGGAATTGGTTAAGTAACAGGAAGCAGAGTGTAGGGATAAATGGACAGTTCTCTGAATGGAGAGTCCTGTGTTCTCCAAGGATTAGTAGTGGGACTTGTGCTTTTTAACTTGTTCATGAACCATCTAGTGTTAGAGGTGAGCAGTGAGGTGGCCAAGTTTGTGGCGATACTAAATTTGTGCTTTTATCCTGTATTTTTATATTGTGAACTGCCAATAATAATTTGTTCAGGGTCATTAAAACAAAATGTGAAGAGTCCTAAAAAGACATCTCCGTGTTGAGTGAATGGTTGGTAACATGGCAAAGTGAATTCATTGTGAACAAGTGTAAAATGATGCATGTCAGGGCAAAATCTTTCTTAATTTTACATATACCCTGAACTGGGCACTCAACAGGTAGTGAGCGACCAGGAATGAGACCTTGGGATTGTAGTGGATAGCTCATGTTGAACCAGCGCACGACAGCTGTGCAAAAGACAACTTCCATGCTAGGAATCATTAGAAAATTCAAATTCTGTACCCATTTAAAGGAGGGTAAATCTCTCTGAACTCTGTGGGAATTACTTCTTAGAAAACAGCCAATGAAAACAGCATGATAACGCCTTACAATTTTATTATGATATATAGTCGGATAAATTATTTTATTGTTTCATAAAATTTATGCACTGCTTGATTGTAAAAAACCTCAAAGTCATTTACAAATATATAATATAATATAAAGATACTGTATGTATTGTTTTGTGGATGCAGCCAGTGATATAAAAGACACTGAGTAATGTATAACTGAGATACCACTGAGCCAGTTATTGGGGAATACAGTACCTTCTGTGGCCGTGGAAGACTGTGGAAGACTACAGTTTTCTTGCCCATCTCACACATCCTTTAATCCCTGGATCTCTTTTCCCTTCACAGAATCCTTTGCCCAACCCATGCTCTTTAACGTTTATTAAGAATCAGCGTGGCATAGTGATTAGAGCATCAGATTAGGTGGGGTGTGCCCAGGGCCAAATCCCTAGTAAACCACGGAGCTCACTAGGTGACTTTGGGTCAGTCATTCTCTAACCTACCTCAGAGGCATGCTGTGTTGTAGGGAGTGCAGAACTATTGAGGTCCTTGGGGAAAAGGTGGGATATAAATGAAATGTTAATGGACTTGTCCATTAAAAAAAACTACAACAGCCAATTGCATGCGTGTGGTTTCGGCCCCATCTGAGATTTCTGAATGGAAGGCAATCTTCCAAGAGCTTTCCCAGACACATGTCTCAGTATAGAGACTATTTTTCTGGCTTCTTCCCTGCATGAATTATAAGAATGTGAACTTGGAAGCTGCTTCTTAAAGTGCTGCATGTTTGAAATGCATCACTGACTGACTGCTATATGGACAAATTCTCTTTTTGCTTACATTTATGCAACTCATTTGGGTGGGGAAACTTGGCTCAAGTTAAATTGAAAATTTGAAGCTTTTTTGCAAATTGCTGTGAAGATGCAAATAAGTAAACAAATATAGAATCTGGCTCAGAGTTGCATTCAATTTGTTCTGTGAGTTTTTGCCAGGAAGATGGGCTGCTGACTTGCTTTTTCATATGTTCCATTACAGAAGTGCAAACAGCAACCCTAAATGGTTAATGGATGTTTTGAATATATTTTTGACTTTGGTTAGATTCTGCCGCTGCAGTGGGTCTTGGTAGTTTTATTTTTGTGGGGGCCTCACTATATTATGTGCTTTATTATGGGGGTGAAGATGTTCATTCCCAGCAATAAACAGGACTTAGAATATAGTTTTGTTCCCAGGACCAAAACACAATGTAAAAATGCATGTTTCTAGTCCTCATAACTGGAGAATAAATACTGGAAACACAAAGGCAGTGTATACCAAGGTTCAAAAGCCATAGTGAGGCTGATCTGGACTTCCAATGATTAGTGAATACAATGCTGCAGATGTCTACTCACTAGTTCACAGAGTTCAAAACTTCTTAATCCTAGGATAGGGTCAGTGGGATTTGAGTAGACACATAGGATTTCAATTACATTTGTGGTCTTGGTTACATCTTGGTCTGACTGGACTATTAATTTGTTGGGTCCTGTAGATTTGCAAGATCTTAACTGTTTGTGTTGCATGAGATCATAATCAGCTGGGGATTCCTTGAGTGAGGGCTGGACCATGGCAATGATTCTAGCTTCTAGAACGGGGGTTCCCAGACTATGGTCTGCATACCACTGGTGGTCCATGAGCTTCATTCAGGTAGTTTGTGGCATGCCTGTAAAAACACAATGAAAAACTGTACAGCATCTAGAACAGTGCATTACAACTGTTACAACAAGGATAAAAATTATTAAGTGGTCCATGAAGACACTCAGCAATCTCCAAGTGGTCTGTGGTGGGCAGAGGTTGGGAGGCACTGATCTAGAACAAAGGGATGGATTCCTCCAAGACAGGGCTGAGGACACCTTGTGGGTGGCGTTTGCTTCTGTGTAAAGCAGTGCAAGGAGGTGCTTTGACCTGCACCTAGAAGGCTCTTTATTTCTGGGTGCAGGTAAAAAAAATAATTTAGGGAATGCACCTGCATATGATGTTGAGGGACTGAAGGAACAACTTTCTGCTTAAACCCCTTCCAGCCTTAGGTGTCCGTAAACTTTCTGATATTTTGTCTGCAGTACTTGAGATAAAAGGAAAGGTATGCTTTCTGTGGAAACTCACCTGTTTCATGCTTAGACAGTACCACTGCCTCATCTGAATTTAAAATTAATGGATCTGCGTACTTTATCTGCTGGATATAGTGATGGGTGTGATACCTTCTCCTACTCTTCCTTCCCTGCAGTCCTCCAATCAAACCAGGAAAAGGATAAACTGCAGGCCCTTACCTTGCTGATTCTGCATGATTTCTCTTCTCTTTAGATGTTTGTGGTTCCTTCACTGCCGGAATGAAACAGGGCTTATTTTTATTGGCGCCTTTAGGACTAAGTTGTTGTGCTTTAAGAGTATTATATCTGTCAATCCTCTTTCTGAAGGAATAAAGCATTTGTCCCATTAGATTCCATTTTTAAAAGATAAGTACTTCCGTGTGCTTTGACTTTTAATTTTAGGGCTCTTATTTTCTTCAGCATATCTGAAACTGATATTGCTACCCAAGGAATTAACAATTGATCATAATGAAAAACAACATCCTGTAGACATAGGCCTTCCACATGCTGCCTTGTCAATTTGCATCACATCTGACCTGGGGCACCTCCTCTTAGAAGTACAAGTGCATTTTAGTATCTGTGTCTTTGATCTCCGTCTCCAGAGACTGCTGCCTACCCCCATTCCAAGATGTCAGTTGCAATAGTGTCTCAGGTCATGTGTGAACTGGCCTAAGACATCCATTTTTTCTTATAGACAAGAAGACCAGATCTTCTTCTTCTTCTTCCATCTTCTTCTATTAGCGTATTCTTGTTGCTTGTATCCTGAGCAAAACAATGAAAGGGCTGGGCCCTCATTATATCTCTTTCTCTTTATTAAAAGGGAATTAGATTTGCCAATACGAATCTATTAGAATTAGGCAATACGATGCTTATGTCGTCATCTGTGTGTGGCACTGTGATGACAGAGAGGTGATTCACACAAGACTTTGATGGTATGCACTGCCAGCACTGTTTATTTCATTTGGAGCTGGGATTGCGGGAGAAATGCAACACTTTGCTTAAAATAACTTTGATAGAACTTTTAATTTGCATATAATCTGGGTTTAGCATGAGCCAAGGAATTGCCAAGATCTTTGGGGCTCACATATCCTATATACAAATACTAAATTCATTCTCAGAGTGAGAGTTGTTACGTAGCTAGAACAATACCATCTTGGCACAAGAAACGAGGCAGCAACAGGCTTGGAGGAACTGAGAACCTGGGGTCCCAAACAGCCAGCAAAGGCTGAACATGCTCAGTGGGCACAGGTTGCTCTCTGACTGGCTGGGGAGTGTGATGGAATGAGGATTCTGGAAGAGGAGCTAGCTGGCTGACCATGAACAGGAACACTTCCCACTGCAATGTTTTGTTGCAAGTCACACCCATTTCACATTATCACCTGGGCCCTTAATTTCCCACCCATTTAGCCATGTTCAACAGACCCTGAACATATGCAGAGTGCCTTTCTGCTCCCACACCCTATTACAAGTAAAGGTAAAGGACTCCTGGATGCTTAGGTCCAGCCAAAGGCAACTATGGGGTTGCAGCGCTCATCTCACTTTCAGGCCAAGGGAGCTGGCGTTTGTCCACAGACAGCTTTTTGGGTCATGTGGCCAGCAGGACTAAACCGCTTCTGGTGCAGTGGAACACTGTGCCAGAATCCAGATCACACAGAAACGCCGTTTACCTTCCCGCCATAGCAGTACCTATTTATCTACTTGCACTGGTGTGCTTTCGAACTGCTAGGTTGGCAGGAGCTGGGACAGAGCAACAGGAGCTCACTCGGTCATGGGGATTTGAACCGCCGACCTTTTGATCAGCAAGCCACAGCAGCTCAGTGGTTTAGACCACAGCGCCACCCGTGTCCTTTTTTTACCCCATTCACTATTAATCACAGTTAGTTCCCATTCGTGTGGGCTTGTGGTTGCAGGTGAGTAAGACCTTCCAGGCAGGTTTAAGCCCCCAACACCTTTTTCTTTGCCATCAGAACTCAGCACTCATCACTACCTCCGTTGGCACCGAGTTGCTTCTGCCAACACAGAGCACTTAAGAGCTTACCATTCCCTTAGCGGTGGTGAGATATGTTAAAACAATACCAGCTTTGTCTCGCACGCCCTCACCCCACCCTTCTGCAACACACTGTGTCAGTGGTTCCCTTTGATGCCAGCGTGAGTGTGTCTGTGTGTGCGCGCGCGCCTGCCTTACTATATAAGATTTAGCGAGAGGCAGCGTTACTTTCAACCCGGGGTCTTGGCAAGAAAACCCACGCAAAGGGGAGAAGAGGGAAGAAATGTGTTTTGTGTAGTACTCCTCGCCTTGATGTCACAGGCACGGCAAGGACATCACAAGGAGGAGTCAGATTACAGTAAGAATGGGCAGTGCAGCATGCAGCGAGAGTCAATGCTAAATCAGTGAGGGATTGTATCAGGGAGAAGAAGACTGCCTTCAAAGCGCTGATCCCAAGGAGGCTCACGCTGCTCGCTCTCTCGCTCTCGTTCTCTCTCTCTCTCCGAGGCTGGGAAATTTCCACACTATGTAGTAGTAGCATGAAAGCGGCTCGCTCCGCTTTGCATCGCAGCACCTCGGCGCGGGAGCTAATGCTGAACGCACAGCGCGCGGATCCTGGCTGCATGGTTAATGAGAAACATAATGTATTTTGGTAAGTCTCTCTCTGCTGGTGCCATCCTTCCTTCTGCCTCGCATCTTCTTTCTCTCCGGCAGGACGGACTGTGAACGTTGTGTGTGTGTGTGTTTGTGTGTGTGTGTCTGTCTGTCTTTCTCATTCTCCGTGGGTGCATTTCGCTGCTTCGGGAAGCCAGACCACTTCATTCACACACACCACACACGCGCGCAAACACACAAGCTGTTGCAAAGGAGGATTCCATTGTCTTAGGCTGCTCCGCACGCCTGTCTTTGCTCGTCGTGCCTTCGCTCTGTTTACGCGCAAATAGCTGTGGCTAACGGCGAGGATCGCCAGCCCCGCTGGCGTCCCCCACCGCCCCCGCCCCAAAATGAACCTGTGTGCCATCTGCAGCGAGGCTTGCGAAGCGTGGGAAGTTGGAGGCAAACTTAATGCCATAATGTACGAGCCATTGCCGCACGATCGGGGATTCTGAAGTCTCTGCGCAACTATTTTTAGCCATTCCCATTGAAAAGCCCCCTTTCGCTTTGATTCCGAGAGAGGAGAAACACAATGCCTTTCTCTCTCGGCGCAGCTCTTGGCTCCTTTACCGAATACTCCCCTCCCCCCCCCCGCAGAGATTCCCAGATCTCTGGATCTTGCCAGCCCAGCGCGCCAGGCAACGAACGCATGGTGGGGGCTGAGAAGGCTCCGGAAGGTCTTGGAGCGGTTCGAAATGTTTGTGCGGCGCTGAGTTCCGATGGGAGACCTTCCTCGGGTTTATTAGCCGCAACTGACTGCATGTCTCCTAGCAGAGAAACATGCTGGAGCTCGGAAGTGTTTGTGTGTGTTTAGTAGCCTAGCACTGCAACGCCGAGAGCTCGCAGAGACCATAGGATACAAACTACAACTTGCTGCGAGGAAAGAATTCGTGTCTTAAGAACATGAAAGAGGGAATCTCCTCTTATCCTGACTTGGAAACTAAGCTAGAGTTTATAAGGCAGCTGAATGATGTTCAGTGATGTACAACTAGAAAGCAGGGGAATCCTGGGCTGGTCAGCAGCTTTCTTTCATTAAATATTAAACCAAGAGTTGACTTGGCACTTCGAGGAAGTCTTCGTTGCGTATTCTGCTAGGTTTATGTCAGTTCCATTTTCATTTCCAATAAATTCCATTTTTATTTCTGCTAGCACATGCCATCCTCATTCATTTCAGTATTTCATAGAGTGTTCCGCCACCTCCCCAATTTCCCTGAAGAAATACAGTAGATGTACCCTGTATTGAAAGTTGTCTGCACATCTCCCAGAAAACTTTAATTCCTTTGTAAATCTGGTCTTGTTGAAGAGGGGAAGTGTTAAATTCTTGTACACCGTTAGATGAGGAGGTGGGGAAGCAACAATTTCTTTTTATCGTCGCGGTGCCTGATAGTCAGTTCTGTGCTTTCCAAAAGGTCTCAATGAGCAAAAGTATTTTTCCTATATGCAGTTTTAAAAGTTGGGATTTCAGCTACCTATGTTTCTCTTCTTGGAGGCGTCCCCTTTAATAATGGTACTTAGATGTGCTGCTAGGGGAGCTATTAGGATAGATTTCTCTGTACTCAGTTTTGCAATAGTTGTGTCTTTGATCTTGGCAAAGACCTGTGATCAATGTTACATATGACTGCAGCTGCAGGTTTCATTGACACTAGGTGCAAGCCATCTGCTCTGTAATGAATAAAATGAATCTGTTGGGATGTTCCTTTACTTGTGCCATAAGGGTCCGAGGGCTTAATGTTTTG